AACTACTTCCTCAAGGAAGCTTCTCTTGGAACTTGCATTGATGACAGAGAGGGAAAGGATGATAGTGCAAAGGCCCCAGTGGTGTTCCCATCACTGTGTTTGGTCCTGGGAGAAGGTAGAAGATAACTTTCCACTGAAGGAAACAGGGGATATTTCCTGTTGGAAGGCATGGATGAGAGACTGTGCCTGGGCCTGCAGAACCCCACGGTATTCCTATCCTTCCCCTCTGAAGCTCTTCTGCTGACAGAGGTTCCAGGAAAGCCTTCCAGGCAGAGGAGGAGGGTCCTGGGTTCCACTTATCCAGTGATCTGTGCTTCAAAGCCCATGTCAGATGCACGTGACCAGGCACATGGGAAAGTCAGAGGGGAATGTGCCTGCCAGAGGTCACCAAACAGCTACCCATGCAACTCTTTTGTTCTTGTCCTCATTTTTCTCTCATTTCTGAGTCTCTACTCTGTGTATCTTTCCCACTTTGTCTTCATTGGCTTTCTGACTTTCCTCTGGAATCCCCTGCCCTAACTCAGATACCTTCTTCCCTTGCCTTCCCCTAAAACATGCTTTCTGTGGGGGCAGCCTATAACCTTTAGTCCTTTGGTTTCCTTCACCCAACAAGTGTTTTCAGAAGTATCTACTTTGTACCAAGCACTGTGAGGCACTGGGAACACACAGATGAATAATCAAAACACATCATTGTGTGCCTGATAAGCTTCCTGAACTTGGGAATCACTGAGCTGAACCTGAAAGGACAAATAAGATTTGGAGCTGGGAAATGAGAAAAGGAAATTCCAGGCAGAGGCAACAACACTTTTAAAGGCACAGAAGTCAGTGAATGGAGGCAAGTGGACCTTTCTGGGGATAATCTCCATCTCCCCTGGATCGGAGGATGAGATCTTTTGTCTAGACTGAGCAATACTTGCCCAATGGCAACCACATGGTCAGGGGCATTTGATTGTGCCCCAGACTCTAGTCACAGGTCTGAACAGCTCCCAAATGGCCTAATGAAAATTTCTCTGGAATCTCTGAAACACCCTGCTTTTAGGGAGGTCCTCTAGCCTGGGCTCTAAGAGCTTATTACAAAACTATTTTCCCTGGACTTGTAAGACAGTTATTAACCAAAGCCTTGCTAGAAAAACACACGCTCATATGCATTAGCACATAGGTAGATTGTTTGGTTACAGTTTCCATTCTATCCATACAGGGATCCTGTAGTCTCCTAAACTATTTTTCTCTCCAACCCCTCAAGCAGCCCTCTGTGCCTCCCCCTGACCCCTACATAGACATGCATGTCCTCTTCCAGGTTTCTGTGCCTTGAAGACCCATCTCAGGTGGTCTCAGCTCTGCCACCTCCCTTCATCACTGGAACTTGGCACAAAACAGATGCTCATGGGGTGTTGTGAAATGAATTTGTACCCCATGTCTTCTGGAACAATTACCCTTTCTTCCTAAGTCCCTGGTGGCTTACAGGCCTTATCTGTAGGCACCCACATTTCCATTTTCCTATCAGATAATTTTCTGGTCATTGACACACTGAGGTTTTTTGGTCTTATTATAGAACAACT